TTTTGTTTGCTCTGTACAGTGCGAGTATTCCACCGTTATGCGGCCTTGACTGATGGGCTGGTATATGGGATGGGTTGGACCGTTTTGCGGTCAGGCAGGCAGGCAGGCAGTCAGGAAATAAAGAAAGAGTAAAAGGTGAGAATGTAACAGCAGTTCGAGTGGAGTATATACATATGTCCATGTCCATTAACAATGGTGGGGCTTAGTGTTCCTGTGTTTTAATGTATATTTTGTTTTTATTTTATTTAGTTTTGGGCAATTCGATTATTCATGGATTATTCGTGGGGGGCACTGTCGCACATTTCGCTCGTACATATTTCCGTTATTCTCGTTTCTTGTTTCACTCGAGTGTTGCATATTTTATTTGCATGGCACGCCATCGCTCCGCTCCACTCCGCTCATCGCCGCTCTGTTCTGCCCTGCTCCGTGTGTGTGCTTTCACGTTGCGTGCTCGGCTTTATACATTTTTCGCTTTTTGGCTTATTTATTATTTAGCGTTAGTGCACATTGAACAACTTTTACTATCAAGCTGCTGCTCGTCGAGTGTGGCTTTAACCGTTACCGTTACCGTTACACCGCCTGCCGCACCTACATGTATGTGGATGCGTTGGGCTTCACTTGTATGGGTTATATTGAGGTTGGCTGTTGGCTGGTTGTCCTTTCACCGAACGACAGAGTACCGCTGGCACGAACCGAACGAAACGAATGCACTAAATACACTGAAAGCCACGCCGAACGACTCGTCTGGCGATGGGCCAAAACCAAGCCAAAGCTCCTTCAAACGATGGCAAACGAGCGACAGAGTTGGAGCAAATGGCGTGCTGGTGGTGGTCGGTCGTGCGTGCTTCTGGGAGAGAGCTTTTCGCGCCCAGCACCACAGTGGGACGAAGGTTAGACAGCATGCGGCGCCTGGCTTCCAGGTTCGGCTTTCGCTCTTCTTTCGAACTTCCCATGAAGCTCTCCCTTAAATTTGGGACTCTCTTTTTTGAGGGCAGCATTTTATGGACATTTGTTGGCATATTTACACTGCCCTGTTACCCTTTTCGCACTTCGCTCAAGATGATGTTCACAATGGCTCGGCTCGGCTCACACGATTAATTGTCGTCGCTTTAAGGTGGCCTTGCAATAAATACAGGCACGAAAGATGTGGCAGGAAAAGGGGAAGGGTCCACAGCTAAAACACACACAAAATTGCACGCAAATGTCGTGGAAGAGGGAGAACACTGTCCAAATAGGCAGCTTCAGACACTCGCCTTGCTGAAGCACTTAGTTGAGCATTAAGTGCCTCAGATTTGGATTGTATTCCTCCGCCTGCCCGCTACCCTACATTTATTCTGCTGCTGCTGCTGCTCCTACTACTGCCACTCCTCCTGCTCTTGCTTCTGGCTGGGCTGTGCTGTCTGTGAAGTTAACTGACACTTACACTTGCACTTCCCTGAAATCAAATGCATTCGAGTTCGGGTTTTTGTTGAGGCCAGGCACTGTTTGAAGAGGCTTGAAAGCGCCTCCACCAAAACTAACAGGCAATGAAGCTTTGGCCATAATCGAGTGGCAATGGGAATGGCAATGAGAATAGGGATTAAGGACTAAAGACCTTTGATCCATAAACGTTTATCAGAGACCAGCTTAAGCGCAGCAGTAGTCCGAATTTCGACAATAGGTACATCGATTTATTTAGTTCTTTTGTGCAGTTTTCAATGCAGTGATGAATATTCGATTCAGCAGGTACGCCTGTGTGCAATGTTTTACCTTCGCTTTAAGACGCTCTGGCCAAATGAATGGTGTGGAATAAATGAATTATTTTGACTACGCACAGACACTATATACGCCCGCCCTTGAGGCAATCGAATCGTCAATTTATCGTGAGCCAGAATGGGCCTGCCCCCACAAACATATGGATATCTCTGCAAATAGCCCAATTTTATTACCAATCCAAGTCCTTGCCACCATTTTCGGGCCGTCTAACACTTGTACATTAAACGAATCTTGGTCCAATCGCCCTCGGATGGGCCGCGTACCTGCCCCATATCGCGCTCCACCGGCTTGCCGTCCACCAAGGCCCGAATGGTGGGCTTGGAAGGGTCCTTGGCGAAGGCGTTCTTTGCATAATGCATTACGCTGTCGTAGTCGTAGGGAACGTTGTAGGTGGTGGTCGAATTCATGGCCATGAACTGCGACCAGTACTTGCGTGGAATGTTGTCGTACTCGATCTGAACGTACTCATGGCGATCGGGGCGACTCTGCTCGTGGAAGAGACCGAGCAGGTGGAGCGTCTCGTGCTGGATCACGGCGGGCATGGTGAGGCAACGCGCGTTCAACTGGACATCGTGGGAGCCAAATGGTATGGGATTATAGCCCACCCGGGTGCCGCACATGTTCGGCGACTTTTTGAAGTACACATAGCGACGGCCAGCGGGCGGGGAGGCATTTATCTCCTCGAACTGCACACACGTCTGCTCGTTGAAGCTGGACATGGCCGTGCGGACATTGGCCACCTCCTGATCGCTGTAGTCCCCGGAAATGCGGTAGTATATCCTGTTGCCGGGCCATCGCTGAAACTCCGACTTCAAGGCGTTGCGTGTCTTCGCCTCGGCCTGCTCGTCATCCACATGGATCTCGTTGTAGTAGTTCTCGTAGGACTCGATTCCCTCTTCAGTTGCCACCAGACGGGGTCCGGGTACGGCCACAACTAGCACCACGAACAGGCAGCCCAATGCAAACAACATCTCTTCGGTGTGTGGCCAAAATAGAGCTCGGATTCGGTTTTTATAGGCTTACGTTCAAAATAAATTATCAGTTTTATTTCTGCATTAAAATTGTTCTTTAAATTACTTAACACTAGGTTAGGGCTAGGGTTTTTGGATAAGAAAACCCACCTACAATTTACACTCGGTTCGGGCACACTTTTACACTGTACAACAAAATTAAGGCTGTTCATGTGGACCCACCATAAAGATGAGTAGTGTAAGAAATCAGCTTTGGTTAGGGTTTATTTTCTTATATTTTTACCAGTTCTTTAAGTTTAAGATTAGGGACAGATCATTGACTTTGGACACTGAAATAAAATCTATGAAAATTTTCAGCCATCAAGGATTGAGTTGTGGATTTAATAGAAATCAGCTAACTTTTGGCTCCATGTTACATATGTCTCTTGTGGAACTAAGAGCTAATCAATAAATAAATATAATAAAAATATAAATCATAAATAAATAAATAATCTTCCATTATTTTGCTGCATAGTGTAATTGGCCCAACCAAACACATGGTCAAACACTGTCAATTACATGGCTGGCTTGCACTTCTATTATTTTGCATAGCTTAGCATGGATAGATACAATAAATACACAGCATATGCAACCGCCTTTGATATCGCATTGCATTTGAATCTATTTACACTGGTGACTGGAAAAGGCCTAGGCACTTGCATAGAAATCTGCATTAAGTGAATGTTCCTTATCGAATTGGTTTGGCCAAGCTCAAGACCCTGAGATCCATTGAAACTTTAATTTAATTTTCTATGGCCTGAATTGTATAATTGAAAATAAATAATAAATAAAATAATAATAAATAATAAATCGAGCTTGATTCTTTTATTGGTTACTGAATATACAAACCATATTATATGGAGAATCAAAAATTCAAGCAACACACTCACGGAGCCCATTATTTGTTACTGTAACACTATTCCTGGCCGCCACTGTGCATGCACTTTATGCTGGCCACTACTGTGCATATGCAAGAGTCTTCTCTTCGCTGTTCGCTGTACGTATTGGTGGGCTTATCAGTGCATTTCTTTTGCTGTATTCCAGCCCCTGGATCGTCTTGAATTTCGATTTTGATGGATACTCTTACAGGTTCGGGCCACAAGTATTAGAACACATGAAAGTTGTTTAATTTTTGGAAGAACTTCCTTGGTAATATTTTTCCTTGAAGCTATGATTGTTAATGATTGTTAATGCTACTATAGACGACTGCTACTGGTGTGTACATCAGAGCACTGCAATGTGCCATTTTGCGCACCCTAAAACTTATTTTGGACGTCAGTGTAAGTTACGTTGGCTGCATTTCACAGCTGTCACTTTCTTTTAGACAGCACTGTACCATACTTCGTTGGCAGCTTTGATCAACTTTGCTAGTTCCACGTACTGGCACACTTTCCAGCCACCAATGTTTTCTTGCCACGCACTCAACAGTGCCCTCTTTTTAGCCACCAGTGTGCCACCAGCCACCTTCCACTGCGCTCTCAGCCCATTCCTGCGATCTGTATTCAGTACAGATAAGTCAATTAAGTTGTGGGGGGGGGGGGGAAGTCACCAATGAATGATTATTCGATTGTTAATTACAATTTGTATATTTGCAAAATTTAGTTCTTCTTCTCGCCTGTAAACATCACTTAAAAGTCGGTCGTTTGTTTTTTTTTGTTTTTGTTTTGTTGTTTTTTTTACATTTTCTTGATTTCTGTTTTTTTTGGTCATAAACACTAAATACTCGTTACGCATATAACAAATTTGGGGCCGCGCGCGGGCGGGCGTGTTCACAGCAGCTTTGAGGAGTCGCCGGCATGGCAGCCAGTCAGGCGCTGGCCGTGTGGGTTAAGCTGCTCGAACACGCCCCGAACGCTGCGGCACGGTACACATAATATTATATTAATCATAATTCATACACATTAGAATAGCAAGAACACATAGTTAAGATAGAAGAAGGCTTCAAACACATATTTTGCAAGCAAAATTCTAAGACAGCATTTTACACTCTCTCTCTCTCTCTCTCTCTGTCTGGTTCTCCTCTGGTTCTCTCTGGAACTTGGAACTTCTGTCGTTGTGTCAATTCGTTAGACATTGTCCTGATCCTGTGCGGCTCTCGGAGCGGGGAGCGGGTAGCGGCAAGCGGCATCCAGGATACAGGCACTTTGCTTGCTTTTTGCTTTGATCACAAATCAGTTCCTAGTCAATTAGTAACGCTCTCCTCTCCATCGGGGCCGCAGCTCATCGTCATCATCGTCATCGTAGTTCTCTCTCCATCTCTAAAATGTACACGCTTAGACAGTAGTCGCAGTAGTCGTAGTAATAGATACTATAATAGTGGATGGCGGGCGGCCGGTCGGGCTGGCGGGCTTGCGGGCAGGCGTGTGATCGATTGATCGAGCGTGTGAGCGATCGAGTGAATTGAGTGTGTGTCGACTCTCGTCCAGTCCACGGCTCTCCCTCTAGTGCAGCTCGATGAAGTCGTAGAGCGTCTCCGGCACCGTACCCTCGTAGTGGATGTCGTGCCGCTTGATGCTTCGTGCTGCCAGGCACGCCAGCGTCGTGTACTTCATCGGATCGATGATCTTGTGCATGGGCGTGGGACCCAGCAGGCTCTCGAATGTCTCGCCAGCAAAGTTTTTCGTGTCCTATTTGGGCGGGATTGGGCGAGAGATTAGCAACGTGCCAAAGGGAATAGCCAACAGCCAACTCTACTCACCAGATGCGCTCCACCCTCGAGCAGTATGTGCGCCAAGGGCTCCACATACGGCTGCAGTGTGGCCGCCAGATGCAGCGGCGTGTTGCCGGCATCGTCGATGGCATTCGGATCGGCGCCCACCTCCAGCAGGGCCTTCGCCAGCGTCGTCGATGGGAACTGGCAGGAGGGATAGCGACCGGCCAGGGTGCCCTCGCGATAGCAGGAATAGTGCAGGGCCGTACGGTCGAAGCGCACGCGCACCTTGAGACGATTAAGCCGATAGAGAGCGCCCATCACCTGGAGGCGCATCTCCGGACTGAGGCTCTCCGTGTCCAGCAGCGAGCTGAGCAGACAGCCAATGTGGATGGCACTTATCATGGTGCGACTGAGGGCGTTCGGGTCGTGATTGCAGTCGTGCTGATGCGCCGACAGCAGCGTTGTGGAGGCGGTGGTGGCGGAGGTCGCCGAAGCGGAGGACGAGGCTGAGGAAGACGAACAGGATTTGCTGGCGGCCAGCAGCTGCTGCTGTGGCTGTTGCAGCAGCTGCTGCTGCTGCTGTTGCTGCTGCTCCAGATTGAAGGCCTGTCCGCGTTCCACCTCCTTGACGGCCTTGTAGAAAATGGTCAGCATGCCATCGGCCTCGATGGGCGGCACGACTCGGCCACGCGGCAGCAGGCGTCCCGCCTCGACCAGCATGAAGCTGAACAGCTCGGCGAAGGAGAGCAGCGACGACTGTGTCATTGGGCTGAGCGGCTGCAGGATCTTCTGCTGCATTGTCAGGGCGTACGACCAGAGCTCTATGCAGCGATCGAAGCGTCCAGCGTCGGCATAGTGGGCGCCCCTACAAAAGGAAAACAGAAGCTGTAGCAGAGGCCGATATTTCATCGAGAGATGGGGGAGAACCCACCTGAATCTGATGTAGTAGCTGGTGTCCGGATGCGTGGGTCCCAGGATGCGCTGTCGTATGACCAACGCCTGCATTCGCATCTCATCGGGATCCAGCACCATCTCCTCCAGCTCCTCCACGCTGGTCACCTCGCGCACCATCTCGTAGGCTGGCACTGGCTCCTGCACCTTCTTGGTCAGCGGCGGTTCCACATTGCGCTCCTCGAGCGCTCGCCGCCACAGATTGAGTGCGGCGGCCATGTCCCGCTTTCTGTCCACATACGTGGCACCCAGCAGCTCCAGGGCATGGATGCGCGACTCGCGACTCACGCAGGGCAGCGTGATCAGGTGCTCCACAATGGGCATGTGGCCGGTGACACTGGCCGCCAGCAGCGGCGTCATTCCATAGTAGTCCACATCCATGGTGGCGCCATGCTTCAGCAGCAGCTGCAGGATCTGCAGGGAGCCCGATTCGGCGCAGTCGTGGAGCGCAGTGTTGCCCTTGACGCTGCATCGATTGACATCTGCGTTGAGCGAGAGCAGGTACTGGGCGATGCGGTAGTGTCCCTTGTAGCAGGCGATCATCAGGCAGGTGTGTCCATGTCGATTCGCCACCTCAAAGTCTGTCAAAGGAATGCAGCAAAATGGGCTTAGCAACTGAAAGGGATTATATTCATGCGGTGGGGGGGGCCACCGGGCAGTACTCACCCGCTCCATGATGTACCAGATACTTGACTATCTCGTAGTGTCCGTCGAAGCAGGCCGCCCTCAGGGGCGTTGAGTTCGTTCGCGTCGTACTGTTCACATTCGCCGCCCTGCGCACCAGCATCTTGACAATGCCCAGATGTCCGGCGGCGGCGGCACACCACAGCGGCGGTGCATCCTCGATGGGCTCCCCGTCGAAGCTCACGGAGCCCACCTGCTCCACATTGGCGCGACACTTTGTCAATAAATATTCTACAATATCGTAGTGTCCGTTGCGGCAGGAGATGACCAGCGGCGTGGCTCCGTTCACTTTCGCCGATATGAGGCTGCCCACCTCGCTGGAACTTTTGTTGTACAGGGTGGCCTGCAGGCGAGAAGAGCATAGAAATATCTTACTTAGTCGCAGGGTTTAGGTAATCAGTTGATTGTTCATTTTTGATTAGAATTTATTAGAAAATCCATTAAATCGTCGGTGGAAAGCCAATAAAGTGAAGGTCTGTTTGCCAGCCTTTGAAGAGCGGTTCAAGAGCGGTTCAGGGGCGGGTTCAGGGTCTGGTTTGGATATGGAAATATTGTTTAAAAAGCAAACAGCAGGCAATTGGATACTTTTCGGGTTACAAAAGCCTTTGGAGGTGCTTAAAATCTAGCAGTAAAATCGGTATGCATCGATTGATCAAAATATGAATACCGAAAGCACACTATAAAGCGCTCCAGAGTGGCTCAGGCTCAGGCTTATATATCACATAAAATCAGCGACAGTTTTTATTTGAAACTTGTTCAGGGGTAGAACATTTTTTGCATATATTTCTGGGCTTTTTTCTCTGAATGTATAGAGTCCAATGACATTGACATCTGGTTCTTAGGCTCGAAAGATTATATTTTTACTCCTCCAAATCAGAACTCGAATCTGCAGCTATCGCGTTTCAAGCGTTATCTATCGCATGTTAAGCCTGTTCCATGATCAAGTTTTGAGTACTATTTCAAAGGCATTGCCGATAATGTCAACAACAAATTCCTGAGTATTGTAAGTAAACATTTAATAATCCTATCAGCTACTGTCTGCTCTCTTTCTCCCTCTTTATCATCAAAATACGCTGCTGGTTATCAGCTGTTATTTGTATTATTTATCTGTCTATAGGTTGCCCTTGATGCAAATCCTAATCTGCTAAACAATTCCAATTATGAACGATTCGATCAATGAGAAAAAAGTAAAGCGGAATAATAATTTATAATTGGCTAGCCCAGCCATAAATATCAAAAAAATCTATGACGAACAAAGCCAACAAGTGCTGGGGGGGGATCGAACGCAACGGGAGAACCGAACCTGAGCGTAGAGATAACGACTGGCACTGCGACTGGGTGGGGTAAGACACACACGAACAGTGACAGAGATAAGCCAAACGAGAAGGCAAAGCAAAGCAAAGCAAAGAGAGAACGCGAGCGAGATGGCGAGCAATCAGCTGAGAGCTCTTCCAACTGTTGCTGCTGGTGCTGCTGCTGCTGCGGCTGCTGCTGTTGTTGCTGCTGTTGTTGGGTGTCTGTCGTCTGGCATGCTAATTATATTTCTATTTTATTGATTTCGCTGCGGTTGCGCTGTTGTTTTTTCCTATTTGCCCTCATGCCAATTTTAAATTGAAATTCATTTATGTCAAACGTGTTTCATTTTTTGCCTTATGCTAATTATGATGTTTGCCGGCGCGTGCAAAAGGGGAAGGGATGACGGGAATAGGGAATAAAAAATAATTTTCATTTAATTTTGAAAATATTTTTTTTTAATCGCTGCCCATAAGTTTCTGATTGGCAATAAAACAGGAAAGCAAAGCATGTTCTTTTATGTCATACATACTGTGTACATATGTATGTAGATGTATATGTATCTCCTGTGTACGTTATGTCATCCCATTTTAAATTAATTTACGTTTAATCTGCCCATGGATCAATAGAAGTTGCTACAACAAAGGAGACCCCCTGTTCTTAGCTTCGATTGATGCCAAATGACATTGCTACGCTGTAGAAATTGTCCCCCAAACAAACGGACACATCTGTACGGGAACTGTGCAAGTTTCAACTTGCAAGAAAGCTTTCACTTTCACAGGCAGAACTAAATTTACTTTCAGGAAACAGGAAAGCCAGTCTTGGCCCCCCACCCATCAGCGCTCCATTTAGAACAATTCCCACAGAGACGAAAAACCAGAAGTTCAGCCACATGCGAAAAAGGAGATAAGCGGCAAGTGCAGTCAGAAGAGAGGCAGGCACAGAGAAGCAGATAAAAGATGCCAACTACTGCTACGAAGAGAGGGGAGGAGAGGGGGACAGACAGGGGCACAGGCACACCGGCAAAAGACCTTGTGAATGCCGTGCGCTGCTTCTAGTTTTTATTGTTATTCTATTTCCTTCACGCTTTCTTCTCACACAGTAAGCACACGCTCTGCCCACCCCACTGCCATTCGCAGATCTCTCTCTCTCTATCTAAAAGTTCTTGCCAAGTGCAGGGTGTATTAGTGATGAGGTGCGGTGCCCCTCTCTTTATTTCTCACGCACTAAATATGGTAAATGCAACCTCTGTCTCTTCATCTCTAACAGTACACTTATCATTACCTCCGACTTGCTTCTTTTCTCTTTTCTTCTGCCAATGAAAATACCAAGAAAGCTTCTTCGTTGACTTCCTGCTTTCTCTCAACAGCCTTTTACTTTTGGCATTGCGCTTTGTCCCGATCTTTAAACGACGTCACACGACAGCGGCCACATTCTTTGTCTTAGCCCCACTCTACCCCTGCCATTTTCACACCCCCCTGCCCAAGCGCGAGCATCGATCAGCGCCTCGTGGCGCGTGACAAGCAAAAAATAAGAACTAGACCAAAAATATAAAAAGGAAAGCACACAAAAGCAAATTAAAGCCACATTTTTTGGCAACAAAATAAAGCGGAAAATTTATTTTCAAAATAAACGAATATTGAAATGTCTTTTGGGCCAAGGAAAGGAAAACGCAGTGCAAACGTCAAACGTAAATTGAACAATGAAAATTACGCATTTATTTTTGCCTGACATTAAGAGAGAGAGGGAGGGAGAGAGTAGCAACAATCCGTGAGAGCTTGAAGATACTCTTTAAACATAAAAAAAGAAGCTTTATGTTTGTGCGATTAGAATAAATAAATAAATAAATAATTAAATAAAAAATTAAATAAAAAATAAATTAAATAAAATAAATAATTAAATAAATAATTAATTTATCTATTATTTTATGGCGTTTCAGAAATATCTTGAAGTTTTACCCGATTTTCAGAGAACCAAATTACGCGGTGAAGCATTTAAAGGTTTCAAAGATGCTTTAACCTGACCATTAAATATTGCAGTGAAATTATGTATATTTCTACGATTGCAGCATACCCCTTTCACACTCCCAGTAGCGGGTATAAAGCCAACCAAAGTAGTGGTGGCTCATCCGTCGAGTCATTTTCCATTCCCTTGTCGGCTACTCAACTTTTCGCTTTCATAGACAGGCGACACGTATGCCCCAAAGGGGAGATCTGCTGATCATCATCATCAGCAGCAACAGCAACTGAAGCAACAGAAGCAACAGCAGCAGCAACAGCGCAGCTGTTCGTTCTCTTCTCTTCCGCCTTTTGCTCAATTATGATTAAAGCTCCGTCTGCGATGAATCAGCCTTAGTCACTCCTCTCCCCTGTCTTTCTCTCCGCCCGGGCGGAGGGAGGGTGACCTTGTTACTTAAGCCCGATGCCGAAAGCTTCAAACGAAATGAAAAGTCCATCTGACAATGGCAGAGGGGCGGCCCCTGTGGCACACAAAGCAAATGGCACGTAAGCCAAGGGGGGGCGGACAGGGCAGGCAGACGCACCGGATATGGCAGCGGATAAGGCAACGGAGCAGACATGGAGCTGGAAAAATCAATCAATTGTGTACGGGTCGCTCAACATAATGCCATAATAGATATGACCCCAACGATTGTGGTTCAGTGGCCTCAATGTCCAGCCAGCAATTGGGCATAGGAAATGATGGGAAATGCCGCACTTGTCTTTTCACTCTCATTTAATTATGATAAGTAGGTAGATGGCTGTGTGGCATAATAAGCAACGGTGGGAAAATGGCAATAAGATAATTGCCTAGAACCAATAAATAAATAAAATCCCTTCTGGTATGACTAATTAAGCAAAATAAATAAAAGTTCTTTCCAAGAATTATTGTTGCCATTCCCATTGAGACTCACCAGAAATTCCCCCAAAACAGCCGCAAAGTTCCCCCCACACACGTCGAAATAAATAAAAATCAAATTTTGGTTAAGCAAGAGACATCGGAAGGGGGAGCAGCGGTAGGTGCAAAAGGAGAAATGCAATAAGCCAAGTAAATTTATGACTTAATTTCAGCAAAAATTGCTTCTTGCAAACAGAAACAAAAGCGTAAATTTTACTTCCCGAAAACGAAACAACAAAAAAAACACGAAACAAAAATGAAAATAAATTTTCTTGTTAATATGGATTGTTTGGCAAATTGTGAAAATGTGTAAACAAGCGGCAGCAACATAAATACGACAACAACAACACAACAACAAACGATTTCCGACTGCAAGGTTGTGCTGTGCGATACTCTCATATATTTGTTTTTGCTCATTTCGATGTCAAAATGAAAATCCAGATGAGAGTGGAAGCACCTTGGGACCACATTTTACCGCTATGAACAAATGTCAGCGGCAAAACGCGGCCTAAACACAGCGATTAATTAGACAAAAAACAACAACAACAGCAACAGCAGCAACAACAGCCACAAAAGATTGTTCATTTCCGTGTAATAAACAATAAACACCACTTTCCATTGTTGTTGTGTGAATTTGTTGGTTTTTGGTTGTTCGTTTCTAGCTTTTTGATCAATTTTCGAGTGGAGTTCATAGTTCCCCCCCCTTTACCCGTGTGCTGCTCCCACCCTGCTGCTGCTGCTGCTGGATCTCTGAACACACACGCATAATTTATGATAATTTTGACATTGAACGAGTTCAATGTCGATGATATGCACAAGTAGTAGACAAACGCTTTGGATTCCAATTCCGATTCCGATTCAAGTTCAGACGTCGCGGTCTTGGTCATCCAACTTTTGGTTCAATTTTTGGATGCCGTTCAACCGTTGCTCCATCGCTCCATCGCCGTTCGTTCAGCTGTCGCTGACGTCGCCTGGCCATGCTCTCGGGGCTCGACATTCAAATCAGACATGTCCAGTCCCCCGTCCACCCGTACCGTCCCGTTCAATCCGTTGCTGACTCAAATTATTTGGTTTATTTGTTAGCTAAGCCATGACAGTGCCGCGACTGCGCAGCCCGCTCAAGGGTGCAGACGACAGCGGGGGAGCAGCAGCAGC